GGAGGGAGGGAGGGAGGGAGGGGGATAAGGAGGCTGCTGCATACTTAAAAGGATTCTACAAAAAGGTTTTCTAGGCTGGCCACCGTAAGGTCGCTGCAGTATAAACATGCTTGGTGGGGTATGTTGAAGCATTTGGAGGGGCCTGTGCCGGACTAGCTGTAGGAAGGAGGCCTAAGGAATAATGCTGGTATACTACTTTCAAAACAGAGACTAGAAGGATATACTATGATAGATGAAGGGTTCAAGGGGCGAGTTTGTCCGGATAGGCCTCAGGTCCCACTCGGTCTGGGATCTAGGTTTTTTTTTGATGGGTTTCGGGTGTAGGCGTTCGGGCCAGTTGGGGTTCAGGGGGTCCCCGCCTTCTTTGGGTGGCAGCCCCACGAGCAGTTGTGAGAAGGGGCTGGTGTTTGTGTATTGGAGGCTGAGCTGTTACCAAGAAAAGGGGGATTCTTGACCTACGACCTGGGGCCAAGGCCCCAGAAGTGGGAACATGGGTTTAAGAGGATTAGTGCGAGGATCCCTTCTACTCTATCTTGAGGGCATGAAGACAACATGTAGCACAGGTATACCAGCAAGCATAGCTGCAAGATTGTGGTGAGAAAAGCTTCGAAGATGTATGAAATTTGCACAGGAACAGGACATCTCCTGCGCAGCTCGCTCTCGAAACAGATCGTCACCCTGCATAAACATCACCTGCAGAGGGCTAAACCCCCCAAAGCTGGTTCTTCACAGTGCCGAAACTCTAAGTCCCCAAGCCCCAAATCCGCGACCTTAAAGCCTGAACCCTTTCTTATAAACCCTTTTTGAACCCTTTTGAACCCAGATAAAAACACCTAAACCCCAAACCTTAAAGCTCTCACCCTGAAGCACAAGGACGATGGTTGTGGCAAAGGGCCAACAGCTTTTGGGATCCTGGTTGGGATTTACTTAGGGTTCCTTCAAAGGTATCTATAAGGGGTCCTATAAGGGTATAGGGCTTAGGGCTTATACGTTCAGTTCCTTAAAAACGGATCTAGAAGGGGTCCTATAAGGGTATAGGACTTATAAGGCTTGTAAGTTCAATCGGGTTTAGGGACTGTGCAGACTTGGATTTAGGGTTTGCGGCTTGCGCTTTCAGCGGCGGATGGCTCCAACGTGTGTCAGGTGTGTAAGATATTTTAGTGGGTTCCGTTCCTGTTGGCATCCTAAACCCTGCCCTACAACCCCTAAAATCGAGGTTTCCTAACCCTAAACCCTAAACCCTACAAGCCCCAAAAGCGAGGGTTTCCTAGGCCTAAGCGCGAAGCCCAGAGGAAGCGGGAGGAGTTGGGGAGTTCTGCAACTTTGGATCAAAGACAATGTCCAAAGTGGCCCTAATGATTGGCCCTAATGTAACTACTTGGAGGTTCATCGGGCAGATATGCGCGGGAGCTTATAAGTAAGGGCGATTATATTTATAAGCCATACTAGGGGACTTATAACTTCGTTTAAAACTAGCCGTGAACCTGCAAGTGCCCATCTAGGACCTCGGCATTGAGGGAACCTTGAACAACGTTTATCAAAACATGGAACCACCCCCTTTTGTGAAACCCTAGATAAACCCGCGTTCGCTTTGCGAAGGTCAGCGACGGGCGCACACCCCTAAGATTGAAAGCCCCGAAGTGGTTATCGTCAGGCCTGCTCCAGGATATCATGGTTTGGAATTTCAGGGTTTCAAGGTTTAGGATTTCAGAGATTCAAGGCTTCGGATTTCAGGTTTTCAAGGCTCTACGGGTTTCTGGGTTTCAGGCTTTTCGGGGTTGGAGGAATCCCGGGCTTGGGATTCATACCTGGTAGTGTTAGTACACTTGGAGGTTCATGGGTAGTTATAAGTATGGTTATAAGTCCCCTAACATAGGTTTGAACTACAGTTACCCTCCTTATCACCTTACTTATAACTACCCATGAACCTCCAAGCAAGAGTGCAGGGCTCTAAAGGCTGAGATGTGACGTGCTTTACCCCAACTGGGGTAGCTCTCTAAAGTATAGGGTCCCTTTTTGGGTCCCCAAGATAGTATACGGCAGCCTTATAACACTGACCCTAAAAGGGACATGCTAGGCTTCTTACCAGTTTTTTGCGGACAAGAAAAGGTAGCCGTATGATCGGCATTTGAGGTGAACATGGTTGGCCTTGTAGTTTCGTTATGAAGGATAGCCCAAAAAGTTGGAAAGCGGATTAGGGACACTTAGTGCTGGGATTCCCCATACATTACTCTTAGGGATTGAGGCTGTTCCGTTTCCAACCTTTGGTCTTCTACTGTAGGACCTTCTCCAACAGAGTATTAAACTAAGAGTACACGGAGCTTAGAGTCGCATCGTTGTGTTTCTCCAAAGGCTACAGGGTCTGACAACTGAGATAAAGAGTTCTGGCCGTAGTCGTGCTGTTGGAGAACAGCCCGCCTTTCGCAAATAGATACGCACAGTTTTGGGGCTTCGAGTTGAGGGATCCCCGAAGTGCGGCATCCCATCTACAATAGCGGGATGAAGATTGAAAGAACGCCATGGGAAACTCCCACACGTGCTACGCGAATCCCGCGAATCTGCAACGGAAGCCAGTAGATCGTCCTCTTGTTCCGATGACTGGCCTGTTCAGAGGAATACGACTGCGCAGGCCCAAGAAACACGTCACATCAAGTTTCAGACATACCACCTTTCCTCACAGCATACAATGACATGGTCCGTCAGCATCCAAAGTCGCTTCTCCAGCGACAATGCCCCGATGAGATCCGACACCACATGCCCCCCAGAGCAGCTTTCGGCTGTGTAGGATCGGTCTTGCGGGAAGCAGAGGCGACGCTTCAGGAACAAATCATGAGTTTTCCCATAGGCCCCTAAGCAGTTCCTTTTTGGGATTACCCTATGGGATTCTAAGTACAAACCACAAAAAGGAACTACTTAGGGGCCTATGGGTTTGCAACAGCTCTCGAAGGTGAAGACCAGGTCCCAGCAGTTTTTGAAGCCACCTGGGGGCAACTCGAAACTCGGCAGCTGAAGGTGAAGCCAGGTATGGTGGAACGCTTGTAGCTATAGGGCCACCAACAAGGGGCCCACAACTACAATAGTCCTACTTGTCCAGTATCATGGGGAACTAAAGATTAACCTTTTGGAATATATGGGGGTTCCAATGCCCCACAAAAGATTAACGGTTACCAAAGGTCTACTACTAAGTAGTGGCCCTCCGACTCACCAGCGGCATTCTGATAGCCGGAGCAATCTCAGCTACCGCAGCCGAAGTAGCTGAGTTTAGGGTTTAGGGTTTAGGCTGCGAGCATGCAAACAATGGGGGCAAACGCGTAAGCAGAAAAAAAGGAGAAGCCACCGTGATAGAAATAGTAGCTATATGGTGAAGAAGAGCAACCACGATAAGCACAAGTGTGGCTTTCCGTTCTAGCAGCCGTCACAAGAGCGATGGCAATTGCAAACTCGTCCATCTGCATACAGTTCGCCATTATCTGCTCTACTCCACCACGATGAGGAGTGACAGAAGCAGCAGTGGGGCAGCGACAGTAGAAGGTGTCGTGGTGGCAGTGGTAATGGCAGAGTGGCTAGTAACTGGTAGTAGTGGCAGCCACAGTGGTAGCAGCAGCTCTCATCGTCGTCGTCGTTATCGCCCTCCCCGTCGAAATTCCCAGAGTCAACTTTGAACCCCTAGGCTTCCCCACCTGGCCCATACTTCTTCTCGTCACAGCAGAGTTTGGCATCAAACCCGTCAGACCAGCAAGAATAGCCTGAGTGTGCTGGAAAGCTGCTCTTTAGCTCGCTCACCGAGGGGCTACTCCTGTCAGAGGATATGATTCCCAGGGTTTCATGATCTCCATGATAAAATGTCCGGCAACGTACGGACGAGCGTCCTTCATTTTGCAGTGAGTAAACTGCCCGTGCGATGTGAAGGGATGCTTAGCACTCGACACCACACATCGCAGATCAACCTTAATGTTGTCTATTCATATGTGTGGGGGCTGTTCCAGATTGCGGACTCTTGGATTTCGTCGTTATGTAGGCCTCTACGACTGAAAAAAGATGCCCCTGCCCAAACCCTGCAGCCTGAACCTGGGTCAGCACGCTCTCTCGTCGCCTCCGCTTGGGCCACGAGCCGCTTCCGCATGAACCACTGGAAGCTCTGGTAGGAGACGAAGACCCCAGCCCGAACCCGGCCCAGCGTACGCAGACCCTGAACCTCTTTCCTTTGTTGGGTTTCGACTCACACACTCGCACAAGGCTGGCATGGCTGATATTGGGTTTAGGGTTTAGGGTGTAGGGTTTGGGGTTTTTTTGCCTCCAAGAAAACAATGTGTTAAACTTTCAGATTACTACTGAACTGTAACAGCCAAACAATAGGTTAAACTTTCAGATTACTACTAAACTGTAAGAGCCGAGAAAGCTTAAAGGGTTGGGTATTGGAGAACCAAGTTTCCCCAGGTCATCATCCAGATCTGCCTCCACCTCCGCAGCAAACTTCAGCACGTCCTCCTGCACACAGTTGTCCCCGGCAGCGAAGACCCAGTCATCCCCGAAGAGGATTCCACCGGGAGACAGAGCCTTCCAGGCCAAGCGCAGCTCCAGTAAAACTTCGCCGCCCTCATGGGCAGAGTCTAGGTAAATTACTTGCGGAAGCGGCGTGACATGCCTTGCAGCCAGGGATGCCATCAACTTCAGCGCCACAACAGATGTTGCGGGCAAGGGCAGGATGCACATCTGGAGCCCAGCATCATGAACATTGGACCGAAATCGGTCGTAAAGAGCGACCGTGCCGTCAGGACGCAGTAGATTCTTTCTAAACCTCTCCTCCCTCGTCCTCTCCCAAATAACGTGAGCATCCCCAAGAAACGTGTCCACGGCAACAACAGACGTATTCAAGCCGTGCAGGTTCACCCGCTGTGCAGTGAGGATCGCCGATCCCCCTTCGAAAGCGCCCAGCTCCAACCAAAAACTCACGGGTTGGACGGCCGAGTACAGCCTGGGCGGGGCTAGCGGCTGCTGGTTTACGCTTAGGGGCTAGCGGCTAGGATAATGCCTGCATTGCCAGGCTTGTTCTGGAACCATTTTTGCAATGCTAAGGTCATTGGCTTCTTGTCTTGACCCGTCGAAGAGATATTGCAACGCATCCCACCGTGCCACCCAGACGATAAAAGCCCCTTGCGCCCCAAAAAAAACACATACTGTCAATAATCCCTTAGGTTTGCTCTCGAATAACCGTGCTAAATCACTGTCAGGGTAGAAGACCCCTGTAGGACCCTTATAACACCCTGATAGCACCCCATGCTAGAATGAAGCGCTAAGCCCTACATCCATTAAGCCCAAAGCCTAGGCGCTGAACTTAAAACCTAATAAAACTTAATACAATAACCAAGAAAGTCGAATATAATAGAACCCAGGAAGCACCATGTCGATGTCTCTATGGGAGACATGCGTCATCCCACGATCGAAGTCCTGAGGCTTCTCGTCCTGGGTTCTTTAGGATGTATTGCTTTCGGGATTAGGGTTCAGGAACGTAAACCCTAAACCTTAAACCCTCAAGCCCCAAAACAAGGACGATCGGGCGGGGATACGATTGAAGCACGCTTCAGGAACTCGAGGAGTTCCTTTGAAGGTTCATGTGAAGGACCCTTTCGGGTTTAGGGTGTAAGGGTTTTCGGGGCATTGGGTGTCTCTAGGGTGGGCGCTGTCTTTAGGGCTTAGGTCTTGTCGAGGGTGTTTTAAGCTTTAGGTTTTGAGGTTCTAGGGTTGGGGGCCTTGGTGTTGATCATGCATCATGTCCAAAAACCCTACACCTCAAACCTCACTGAACAGGTAGCCGGTGAGTTCGTGGAATGCACACCATGGTGAGAAACCTTGCATACACAAAGCTGCAAACCTGGAAGCAAAGAACCAAAACCCAGGACGCTAGACCCTAAATCCCTTCACCTCCAACCCCTACACCCCAAATCCTAAGCCCCCAAGCCCATGGCCCTATGGAAGCAAAGAACGGACACCCCAAAAAACTTGAGCCGAAGCCGAACTCCTACCCCGAAGCCAGAACCAAACGTCCGTCCGAAGAGTACCCAATATTCCAGTTTTAGGGGCTAAAATGGGCTTAGGGTGGAGAGGTTCGGGTTTCGGGGGTGGGGGTTGGGAGTGTCAGGTTTCGGGGCTTAGGGCGGCCCGAAAATGGCTAGACCTTATAAATCTACGGGGTGCTGCACAGTTGTCGACAGGTGTTGGAAAGCCTGATCTTACAACTCTTCTACTCTCTGCTTAACTATTCCGGCCTAAGAAAGTTCATCAAATTTTTTAAGATAGACCACATACATAACGCCAAAAAGTTTAAGTTCTCAAAGTTCTTCGACTGGCTACCAAAGTAATTCAGGCTCAGGGGTTTAGGATACCCTAGACCCTAATAACCTACGTTTTTAGGGTTCCCCATTGTGATTTCCTGTGTTCTAAGAATTCGCTAATCCAGGCCTTACAGATTGTCTCGCACTCATGTTGCCAGTCGTCTATCGAGAAAAGGCCATCCCTGAGCCTTTCTGCTTGGCCGAGCCCTGCGGTGTAGAAGGCTATCCTCCTCCTCTCCATGTAGCTCTCTTCCTTCTCCGACGGCTGAGTAGCCCGTAGCCCAAGAGCATTCGAATCACCCGAATTCATGCAAACCTCGGGGGCACCACGACGGGACGTGGGTCCTGGCTGCATCAAAAGTTGAGTCCTCTTGGATCCTTTGGAGGAGCATGAGCTCCTTCTCTGCTATGGCCTCATGCTTCTCGTTGCCAGCAGCTCCAGCAGAGGACTGGGACTCCTGCGGCCAATGGGGAATCGTTCTTGCTCGGGAGTAGGGTCCCCTAGCCCTATCTTGGAACGCGGGCCGAGCCCTATCTCCAAATGGACCTCCTCTGGCTCTCTCGCCTCCTCCCGTCGCGCGGGCCGGGGAGAGGTCTCTGTTCCGCGAGTAGCCTGCGCATGGTAGCCTCCTGCTCCTACTGTTGATGATATAAATCCTGCATGACCTTAAGGACCCTAAACTATGGGAGTTATTTATTATGAGTAATGCAGGATTTATATCATCAACCGTTGTGGTGCAGCTCTGGCTCTGAGCGAGGTCGCTCAGAGCCTTTCGGGCCCGTGACGCCTGCCTGAACCCTCAACCTCAAAATCTGAAGCCTAAGCCCTACTATAAGCCCTAACCCCAACCTGAACAGTCTAAAACTAAAAAATCCTAAATTCAAAACCCTAATCAGGGCTCCCCATTATGAATTCCTTATATAAGTCCCTGAAACCCAAACCTGAACAGCAAACCCTAAACTCCTAAACTCGAAGCCCTCAACCGACAAACCCTAAACCCTAACCTACCTTATCTAGGGCTTATTAGGGCTCCCCATGGTGACTTCCTTATAAAAACCCTAAACCCTCAACCCTCAACCCTCAACCCTAAACCCTAGAGATCGGTTCGGATGGAGCCTGCACAGAACCTCCTTCCATACGTCGGGCACGGAGAAACATCACCTGGCGGATGGTGATCGGAGTCAGGTTCCACCTTGCATGGGTTTAGGCTTTAGGGCTTTAGGGTTTTAGGGTTTAGGGTATCAGGGTTTAGGGCTTTAGGGTTTAGGGTTTAAGGTCTACTTAGAGGCCCAGGGCACGTAGTAAGTAGGTTAGATATAGAGCTCTAAGTACCCTACATGGAGTGACCCCAATTATAACGCTACGTACAACCGACTTACTAAGTCCCCCGGGCCTCTAAGTAGGGGGCCAGACATACTGCAAAGTTTTCTTAATTGGTCCTCATTTTCAAAAATTATGCCCATAATATGCCCCAAAGCCCTGTTGTAATCAGAGGGCCCCCTTGAGGGGTCCGTTACAGGCTCGAGAAGACTATAAAGGGGTCCGATACGGATTTAACCGTGAACGGATCGGGGTTGAAGCTTGCTGCGTCCGGAACTATTTTGCAAGGTGTTAGGGTTTAGGACTTAGGAATTTTTGCTTACACACCCTCTTAGCTAACACGCGACCTCATAGGCAGATTCACCCCGAAAAATCCTGGGATAGTCCCTAAACCTTAAACCCTAAACCCTAAACCCTACCCCCGTCAGTCACAAAGGAACTTTTCGGTTTTGCCCTGCCAGGAGCTCCTTGACAAGGGCGCATTTGGGTTTAGGGAATTTAGGGTTTAGGGTTTCGGGTTTAGGGTTTAGGGTTTTAGGGTTTAGGGTTTTAGGGTTTAAGGTTTAGGGTTTAGGGTTTAGGGTTTGGGGTTCAGGGTATGCTCCCAACACCCGCTCCGAGGTTTTGCATATCCTGCCGCACACCGAGTCCCTAAACCCTACACCCTAAACCTTGGGTACTGCCCCCGTACAGTAACAGTCTATTAGCCTTATATATCCGTTTTTTTGCATATTACTCAACTGTTACTGAGTGGGGGCAGTATCCAACCTAAACCCTAAACCCTAAACCCCGAATTCCCTAAACCCTAAACCCTAAACCCCCAGCAGGAGACTACGTCTTTCTCATCATGGCATGGGTCCGTCAGGCGAATCGATTCCGCAGACACTCCCCACTGAGCCTCACAAGGCTCCATCAAAGGGAGACCCAGATCTTCCAAAATCCATTCTGTAAGTATTTTAATAGACATTATGGCAGGATCCCTGATATGATTTACCCATAGGCTCCTAAGTAGTTCCCTTCTGTGGTTTATATTTCGAAGCCTATAAGGTAATCCCACAAAGGAACTACTAAGGAGCCTGTGGGTAAGGTATATTCCTTCATTCAGGGATCCTGGAAGATCTGGACACGTTGAACCATGGAGAAGAGGTCAGCCCAGCTGAAGTCCTGGCGCTCGGTAGCCTCGAGTTCCCGTGCACCGATGAGGACTTTGGGTTGAGGGTTTAGGGTTTCAGGATTTGGGTTTAGGAATTAGGGTTCAGGGTTTGAGGATTCGGGTTTAGGGCTTAGGGTTTGAGGATTAGGGTTTAGGGTTTGAGGATTAGGGTGTAGGGTTTAGGGTTTAGGGCTTAGGGCTCTCAACACTTAACACAAGATTTCTGGATATGCTGTGCTGTGCTTGTATAATGTCTACCAGCTACTATGATGGCTTCATATGGGAGCCTTTGTATATAAGGTATGTACGTGGACTCGAACTCTCAACTACATATGCTTGACTGTCACCTCATGCGACATGCGACAGCGCCTCGACCCTGAAGCAGAGACCCCCAAACGGTGGTCCCGAAGGCTTACTCCAATGTCCGACCCACCTTGATGCGCTCAAGCAGCTTCCTGTCAGCATTTCGGCATTTGGAGGCCCCAAAAAAGAATGCAGAGAGAGGGAGAGGAGAGGGAGAGGGAGAGAGAGAGAGAGAGCGAGAGAGAGAGAGAGGGGCAGAGAGAGGGAGAGAGAGGGAGAGAGAGGGAGAGAGAGGGAGAGAGGCCGAGAGGGAGACGGAGGCCGAGACAGAGGCAGAGAGGAGAGACAGAGGCAGAGGCAGAGAGAAGGAGAAGAAGCATATTGACTTGAGAAAAAGCGGACCTCGTGCTTGCAGGATATGCGTTGGTCCGAATTTGGTGGTTCAACCGCCGTTGGCATCATCATTGCCAGCCCATGCCGAAGAGAATCCAATACCATGAATGCTGTACCCCTTCCTGCCTGCCCGAACAAAGACCGGTGCCCCATGTGTTCGACTGAGGTTCGACTGGACTTTTCCATGTTTACTCATCTGAAAGAGGCCACGGGATCATGTGTCCATGTGGATTCTTCTTGCAGAGAACATGCCTCCGTGGTTGTGTTCAGGCTATCGTGTCCGGAATGAGCAAAGGTCGGGATAACCAGTTGTTGTTCCGAGATCAGGCTGACAGGTCCATTTCACGTAGCAAAAGCATTTCAACTTGTCCCTGAGCAAGATCGCTTTATTGCGTCGGACAACATTACCTGTTTGGCCGTGCAGCGGCTAACTGTAAGTCGGTTCGCCGACAGTTTATGCATGCATTGCCATC